CCCCCCACATATGCATATATCATGCTAGCTCACAATATACACCTCTACATACAAACATATAAACATGCACAAATTTCATGCACTCACACATGCACACAGAGAGATAAAGAGAGAGAGAGTGAGAGAGATCCAGGAAACAGAAAAGAGGTTCCTGACTCCTTAGTGGACACTTTTAGGGTGTCCTGCACTCCACAGACTGAGGCAGAGGCAGGCATAAACAGATTGGCACTCTACACCTGGTTCTGTAATCAGTCTGTTTTTCTCACAGGAAAGGGCCTACGAGCTCTAACCTTCAGCTTAGAGCAGCATGACCCCAGCCTGCTCCATTTTACCACCATTTCATCACTCCTCCTTCTGCTGTCCCCCTAACCCTTGACCATGGAGAGCATATTGCCCTCCTGGGACTCCTTTCCCCCATGTCCATCTTACCTTCCATCTGTCACTCATGCCTACTTTACAAACCAGGAGTGTAGGCAGATCCCTGAGGAAGCATTGGGACAAATTGTTAGCTGAAGTGAGAATAATTATAGTAATTAGAAATAGTGTCAAGATTTCTACATTATTAGATTCCTATATTATTAGACCTGTTTTCTGTTTGTTTGGTTGATTGGTTGATTGATTGATTTTAATTTAAAATTTTTATTCAATGTATTTTGATCATGTCTGTTCCTCAGCTACCTTCCCCAGCTCTTCCCCATCTCCCTACCTACCCAACACTCACACACACACCCTTACACACAGTCTCTCTAAAAACCAATTTTTTTAATAAAACACAAAATTGAAAGTCAAAACAAAGAAGCAAAAGAACTGTAAGATAAAAAATATATATTAAAAAGTCCACAATAAAATAATATGGAGTGTGTTTTCTGTTGTCCTGGGACCTGGGGATGGGGCCATACCTGGAGTATGTTGGGAATATACCATGGAAATATTTTTTAATCCATTGGAGTTTTATTTATTGGAGAAATCTGACTTTCCCCTGGTCTGTGAGTATCGCTTGCAAATGCCTTTCTGCTTAGGGATAGGACCCCATGTCCACTTTCCCATCTCTGTGCTAGGATCCCATCTGGCTTAACTCTGTGCAGATCTTGCCACAGTCTCTGTGAGTTCATTCTTAAACAAACTCTCATCCCTGTCATTTGGACACTTCCACCAAGAGCTGAGGCAACGCCTCACTGTACCTATTCTGGCAGCCGGTCTCTAATCTTCAACACAACTTGCTTTGCCAGCATGTCCTGGCTCTCTGGAGTGGCTCAGCCTTAGTAAAGAGGTCAGTAATACAAATCCTATCCAATAAGCTCCAAAACCTCTTTAGTTGCAAACGGGTCAACTGCGGTGGTGTGATCCTGTAATCCCAACACGTGGGAGGAAGAGACAGGAAGATCAGGAGTTCATGGTCATTCTCACCTACAGCCTGGGCTACATTAGACCTTGAGAGAAGAGGGGAGAAGAAGAGAAGACAAGAGAGGGACGTGGGGAGGGAAAGGGAAAATTGGAGAGGGAAGGGGAGGGGACAGGAGAGGAAAGGGCAGAAATAAAAGAAGAGGAAAGGAAAGAATGTACACAATGTTATCACCTCTACTTAAACAAGGAGATGGAAGCTCATTGACAAGAAGCCCAGGCCACACTGTTGGCATATGCCCACCTCAGCCTCCCTAACGGCCCTTTAATATACTTGCTCATGTTTTGCTGAGCCCAAACATAAAAATTATTTTCGTTGCTACTTCATAACTGCAATTTTGCTACTGTTATGAATCGTGATGTAAATAGCTGTGTTTTCAGATGGATTTAGGCAACCCCTATAAAGGGTCAGGCAACCCCCAGTTGAGACCCACTGATGTAGCTACTCATACTCTGGCTGTGTGGCTTTGGGCAAGCCATTTCACCTCTCTGGTCATCAGCTTCTTCGCCCATCAAATCATGAGTAGGACTAGATCACCCCTGACCCTTGAAACACTGAAGTCCTGTTTTCTTAGCTGTTACTAAAGAAACAACCATCTTCATAGCACTTACTCCCATTGATGCTTTTGTCCAATCATTAACCAGGAGAGTGGGCTGTTTCTGCAACCTAACAGCAAAGTTCACTTAGCGGAAAGAGAAGAGTATTTCGGGGATAGCGGACATTGTTGGACATCTCGGAGGACCTAATTCTGGTTTGGCCTTAGCTTGGTGGCTCAGGAAATCTAAGGCATCGTCAGAGAAACAGCGTTCTCTGTTCTCCAACAATCACCTTCGGTGAGTACGAAAGTGCCAGCTGAGCGATGCCAAGATGAATCTGCTTTTTGAAACTGTTCTGGTTTTTCGTTTGTTTCCTTATGGAGTTTGGCTCAATCGCTTGCTTTTCTCTCTTCCTAATCTTGGGGGATGCGGCATCACAAAGCCATTAAGTCATTCATGGAACTCTGAAAAACAAAATAGTGAGTAAAACAGGCAAACTTAAGATGGAATGGGAGAAGGTTTTGCATGAGATGTAAAGAAAAAGCTTGTTTGCACGTGAGTTGTAGCCATAGTGGCTGTTTGATTTGATCCCTTGCTCCTGGTTTCTCCTGCTTGACTCAGAGAGATTGCTGTATCCCTTAGCACTGCACTGTGTTTTTTTTCCCAAAAGTCTTAGAAAGCTACCATGGTCTTAGTAATTCCAGGGGCAGTTGAAGATGGCAGCTTTTGTTTCCTGCTTAAAGAAACCCAGAAAACTTCCTCTTTGTCCCAAAATTCCTTTCCCAGTAAGCTTTTCTGTGCTGCCTCTGACTCCTGTGTGTTAATTAAACTCCCTTTGTAAAACATAAATACTTTCCTCCTAAAGCCCACAGCAGTCCTGGCTGGCGTTAGTCTCAAAGTAAACTCACAAACAGGAGGTCCTTAATAAAACTGATTTAACCAAATTATTTCTAAGGTGGTGGCTAGGTGTGATGAGTTTCCTAACAAACAGGCAAATTATCTTTTTCTAAAGCCTATTTAATGATATAGTCATGACACAGCAAAGCTTCCCAGGAACAGCAGAGAGACTTTCGTGTTCACTCGAAAACTACAGACTTCCAAGCACCATGCTGGGCTGCTAAAGCTATATACAGATAATAGCTATATTTATCCTTGCATTTGGTCATGTATACAGTGACAGACACATAACAAACCATTTCGGGGAAGTAGCCCAAAAAGAGAGCTACTCTTAAAACATAAGTGCTTTGTCCTAAGTCCAAAAATGAGGAAGATCCAGAACAAAGATTTCCTCAGGAGTCTGAGTTCAGATTACTATTGAAGACACCCTACAGCTTTTGTAATTGGAAAGTTCTGACTAGGCAAAGTAAGGAAAAGAAATCCCCTCAACTGAGGTTCTGTTGTTGGAGGGATGGGATGGGTTGATTCCTGCAGGAACTGGTGAACAGGGAGCCGAAGAGAGAGGGGTTTCCAAACAGAGCCTATGAGAGGAGCAGTCCTAGAGGTCAGCTTTAAAAGTTCTCTCTGTCATGATTGGAGAGATGGCTCAGTGGTCAAGAGCACTGACTGCTCTTCCAGAGGACCCAGGTTCATTTCCCAGCATTCATAGCTCACAACTGTTTATAACTCCAGTTCCAGAGGGTCAAACACCTTCATACAGACATACATCATGCCATCAAAACAGCAACGCACATACAAAAACAAATAAACTGATAAATAAATAAATAAATAGATAGATAGATAGATAGATAAATAGGAAATTCTCCCTGTCAGTCCTGAAGGATGTCTGATGACCCAGGAATGCCTTGGATAGGCGTGGCCCCCAAGAACTGTCTTCCTGTTCTTGCTTTACTTGTGCTGAGAATAGTTACATCCTTTTCGAGATGTTACCAATGTTAGATATACAACTCCCTGCAGAACTCTTGCGATTTTAGTGATGCTGCTTTAGACCCCAAGTTCTGAGGTGCAGCAAAGTCTTAAATGGTCCTTGAGATCTCTGTCTTTTCCTGCTGTTGTGACTCTTATTATCTATCTTTTTAATCTCATTTCACCACAGGTCCCAAGAAACCATCCTTTCTCCATTTTCCATAATAAATCTATTTGTGGGTGGGGAATGTGCCTCAGTTGGTTGGATGCTCACTTAGCATGCACAAGGCCCTGGGTCCGAATATCAGCACCACATAAATCAGGCATGATGGATGCATGCCTGTAATTTCAGCCCTTGAGAAGTGGAGGCTGGGAGAATCAGAAATTCAAAAACACCCTTGGCTACATAGTGAGCTCACAGCCAGCCTGAGCTATATGAGATGCTATTTCAAAGAAAATCTATTTGTGCTGAAGTTTTCTAAGCTTTCTAGAATTCATAGATGACTGTCTGATAACAGTCTGGGGGGTGATTATACAGAACACAACATAGCACGGCTGATTAGTTCACTCTCTGTGGCTCTACAATCCACCCCCTCATAGTTTTCCTGCTCCTCCTACAGCAATGAACACACTTCCTCTGTTCAGACACAGCTAGACTGCACACCCCGAGTGTCCCCTTCTGTGGCAGGTGGACTTGTCAAGGACCTGTTCCTGCACCAGGTAGGTCTCTTCAGAAAGTCTTTTCCAATCAGTTACTAAGACTATAGAACATTTCCTCCTTTCTTTCTGGTTCAATACTGATATCAAGGACGTGGACCACTGCTTATTATCTATCTTCAGAATTTCTTTGGCAAAATGGAAAGCAGGGCTCAGGAAGATAGCTAAGTCATTATAGTGTTGTCCACTAACTATACTGGGTGTGAGCAGGCTTGAATGATATCTAGAACCCACATAAAAATAGCACTGTGGTCCCATGTGTTTGTAATCCCAGAGCTGGAAAGGCAGAAAGCCTCATTAATCCCTGAGGCTCAATGGCCAGTCAGACTAGCCAAATTGGCCATCTCCATGGCAATAAAAGACCCTGTTTCAAAAAGAAACCACGGTGGACAGTTCCCGAGTATCAACACCTGAGGCTGACCTCTATCGTCTGTGTGCACACACATGCACCCAGACATGCATGCACACAAACAACGGATGGATGGATGGATGGATGGATGGATGGATGGATGGATGGATGGATGGACAGATTTAAAAAATCTAACTTGGAATAGCTATGGATATTTTTGTTCTGCCCCAAAAGGCTGGTCCCTTAGTATGTAAGTGTCCCTCTGTTCTACATTCCCCAAGTTCATCAGCACCTTTGGTTAGGCAGCTGATGTCCTTATCTTTCAGGTAAGGAATCATCTAGGGATCTAATCCCATTCTGCCATGAACTGTATAGGCAGTTCATTCAATGAACACTTTTTGACTCAGGAACCTTCATTCCTGAGTTTAAATATCAACTTCTTTTTAAAACTTCCTAGCCATAAACTATAAAGTAAGGTAGCTTCTTTCTATTTGATTTCTTTATCTGTAAAACGTATTTCTTGGCGTGGGGGGTGAGGAGTGCTGGGAGTCAAACCAGAGCCTCACGCGTGCTAGGCAAGTGCTGTCACTGAGTGGCACACTCAACCCTCTTTTCTATGAAAGGGAATAATAGCAGTTTTGGCTTCATAGCGTTGTCATGGAGATGAAAAGAGGTGATCTGTGAAAAGCATTTGGGGACCGTGGTACACAATTCACTGTGTTCACAGCAGCATCGTGTGACCTGTGACCACTACAATAGATAATAGCAGTGTATCTGAGCTAGACACTGGACCAGGAGGCTCAAGAACACAAGCATGAATACCGCCTTTCTGGGTTTTATAGTCAGCCAACTGGGGACACAAAGAAAATTAAGAAAAAGTGTCACACACACACACACACACACACACGTAGGGCTTCCAATTTTAACCATGACTGTGAAGGAAGGGAGGAAAAAGATTTCATGACAGAGGGCAAGATTGGGTACATCTAGTTTGGGAGGAATGAAAAGACCTCATCAAGAAACGGGCATTTAACCCTTCTCCTTTTCATGAAGTCCAGAACTCACAGCAAGGGAGTGGTGCTGCATGAGGGTGGCTCCTCTTACCTTAATTAACCTAGTCAGGATGAGGCTCTCACAGGCATGCACAGTGGCTTGTCTCCTAGCTGGTTCTAGAGCCTGGCATTTGACAGCCAGGATTAACCATCACAGCTGAGTACCAATGTGAACTCTGAAGCCTAGTTTACCTGCATCTGAAATCTCCAGCCTTGTCACACTCTGCTCTCTTAACCATCATGAGAATTTCACCGACTTTGTCCAACAGCTGTGGTCAAGAATTAGCCCAAGGTGCTAAGAAACAGTTTCTCAAATAATTAGCAGAAAGGCCTTCTCTGGATTCAGGATATGGATTCTGTAGAGGATGTGGTGGCCCACCACTCATAACTCCTTTCAGAAAAGATCACATAGCTAAAATTGCTGACAAGAAACACCCAGGTCAGTTTGGATTTGACCTTACCAGCCACAGACAGGGCCTTGCCCAAAATGGGGCCATTCCATACAGGCCTTGGTCAGTAACTGCTAAGGATTTTTACCACAGAGGCCCCCCAGAAGATAACTCTAGTGAGGATGGTGTCTCAACTTCTTCCTCTGTCCAGTTTTGTTTGCTTTCCTTCCTCCAGGTATTCATCCCTAATGCAACCCTGCTCACAGCAAGCTTTGGCATTATCATTGTTCCCATCTTAGCACAAAACCCCTCCACCCACATATGGTTACAAATGCTGCCCATTATGGTGGAGACCATGGTGAAGGTGGTTTCACCAGCGTTCATCTCCATGCTCATTTTTAGGTGGATTTACGCTGGCAAGTGAAGACACCATCAGATGGCAAGGCTTACATTCTTGATGATTATTCTTTGCTGCCCTCTCCCCAGAATGAATCAACAAGAGATACTTATTGGCAGATCTGGAACCATGCACCCACCGGTCAGCTTGTTGACCTTAGCTCTTGCTGTTTTGTGAAGACAGAAAGTATGTCTCCACCCTGATGGCAGTTTCCCACTGGGACTGAAAACACTGCAGTCTTTGTTGGTCTCCTTGTGGAGCTCCTGTCCCCTCCAGGTCCTTCTAGCCTTCCTTCTTCCATAAGACTCTCCATACTCTGCCCAAAGTTTGGCAGTTACCTGCTCTTTGATCACTTCCCCTGGCAGTGCGGCCTTGCCAGAACACAGGGGGGGGCGGGGGTGGGGGAGGGAGAGGATCCAGGCAGTCCTTGATGAGACTTGATAAGCTAGGGTCAGATGGCAGGGGAGGAAGTCTCCCTTTTACAGTGGACTAGAGAGTGGGGATGGGGAGGAAAGGGAAGGAGGGTGGGACCAGGAGGAGATGAGCAAGGGGGCTACAATCAGGACATAAAGTGAAAAAAATGGTTAAAAATAAAATTCAATTAAATTTAAAAAAAGAAAGAAAAGAAAACTCTGTAGTCTAGATGTAAAATGGCCACTTGGTCCTCAGGTGGCGGTACTGAGTCATGATTATATCACCAGGACGCTGGCTTCTTAAATGTCGATTGATGAACTTATACCTTAGTGGACTATATGAGGTGAGATGTAGACGAAGGAAATGGGGCGTTGGGAGCTTGACTTTGACTTTTAAAGGTATATCTTGTCCCCTGCCCTTCTCCCCATCTTCTCTTTCCTCCCCTCTCTCCCTCCTTCCACTCTTCCTGTGTATCACCAAGGGAGGCAGTATGCTCTACAAGCCCCTTAAAACGATGCTCTGCCTTATCATGCACAGGCCCCTAAGCAACCAACGACCATGAATTGAAGCCCCTGAAACTGTGTCAGAATAAATCCTTCCTGTTGTATGTCTTTTCTCAGTTATCCTGCCACAGGGACAAGTAACTGATACAGACACACTCTTGTGTTCCTTAGCAACTCTTTCTTGTCCTCTAGAAGTAGCTAGGTTGTCCTCCACCTTCTGTAGGGTGTTCCGTCTTGAAGATCCCCAGGATGCTTTCAGAAGTGCTCAGATTCGCTGATATCTGTCAGCTCCTATAGCCACGATTAAAAGCCCAGAGCCTGGCAGAGCTTCTAGAAGCTGTCAAAACTACTCTGTCCCTCCGAAAGGATTCACCACCACTGGCACATAGTCTTCCTTTCAAATGAAAAAAAAAAAAAATCATTTTCTTCACTATCCCAGATCACCATCTCCTGTCATATAGCCACAAGCTGCTAAAACTCTGTAGCTATGTGGCTGGCCTGCCCTACCACCACTTTTTGCTCCCTGCCCACTAATACCTGCCCTTTGCCTTCCTCAGTGTCGGAGCTGCATCACTATTCGCAGCTTCACTGGCATTTCTTCCAAATTCCTGAAGCTGATGGTGACTCATTCTCTTTTGTCATCAAGGACCATTGCTGCGCTGTACACAATGCACCACATGAAGCCGTGTTAGCTGTTCTCTGACGCCTTTCATCCAAGTGCCCTGAAGACTTAATTTGATGGCCTGGAGGCAGACCTGATAGTCTGCAGCTTTATAACTGGCAGGGTTAAATTAGACAACCTGCTTTCCCCTCTTGAGCCAGGCTCCTGGGTCATAGGACATTCATTTGGGTATGGGCTTCACATCCACAGCTTGCCAGGCCTTGCTTAGAAGGACCTGATTGAACTTTCCCCCAAAGCGATATTGACACACATGGTCCTTCAACACAGCCCTCTTCTCGAAGTGTCCTTTCATTTCCCAGGGGTATTTTTATTTCTCTGGGGAAAAAAAAAAACAGAAAACAACTGATCATTCACTAGAATGAATACAAACTCAGAAGGCTGCTGTGAAAAAAATATCGTGAGTCTTCCTGGCACTGATAAAGCCGTATAAAACAGCAAAGTCCTAGAAAGTGCATCCAGCATCCTAGCTTCATGGCTGCTGTGGGTAGTCTTCATTGTCAAGTTGGCTGGGGTTTGAGATCACCATGGAAACAAATGACTGGATGTTTGTATGAGGGTTTTTCCAGAGTGGTTTGACTAGGATGGGCAGACCTATTCTGAATGTGGGTGGCACTGTGCCATAGGATCTCAGACTGAACACAGAGGAGAAAAAGAGTTGAGCCCCAGCATTCAACTCTTTCTACTTCCTGACTGTGGGTGCAATGTGACCACAAGCCTGAACCTCTTGCTACCATGCTTTCAGTCCCATGAAACGCTATGACCTCAAACTTAGAGATAAGTTCCCTCCAACCTATTTGTGTTGGTTGGCTTTTGGTCCTATGACAAAATACCTGAGATTAGCAATTTACACAATGAAAAGGTTTGATTTGGCTCATGGTTTCAAAAGTTTCAGCCCGCTGTCACTTGTCACATCTCTTTGTTTTGTGGGGGCAGAGTTCACCGTGTAAGAAGTCCATGGCAGAGGATGATTATCCATGGGTCTGGAATTATGCAGGTAAAGCCAAGTATAGATGTCTGATCCTTAGGCTAACAATGCATGGAAGTGTCGGTTTAGTGCTGTAGTACCTCTTTCTTCATAACTTAGGTATGTATCTCCAAGTTGAGAGATACCACACAAAATTCTAGCTTCTGGTTTCTTCCAAAAAACTAAAAACATCTGGTCTCAGTGTCGTGGCATTCCAGAATCAGAATCAGCACCACCAGCTGTAGCCAAGCAG